CTTAAAAATGTAGTAGCCAAATTGGCTGGTGAGTGAAAAAGTTAATTTCAATCCCTGTATATATATATATATATATTGCAAACCCAGGGTATTTGAGGCAGGTATAAGAGCATACAATAAGAAAATAGGTAAAAATTACTGCGGGTATATAATGACAAACCTGCGTGGTGGTATGTTGACATCAGCAAGTGTGTACAGAGGAGTTAGACTGGACAAAAGGTAGTGTAACCGCGGGAACGGAACAAGGTTCATGGCTATCTCATTCAGATCCATGTTGAGAGAGCCCTCAAACCGTGCTGAACTTCAAGAGGAGAAATTAATTCAATACAATTAAATTAGTGAGAAAATCTAATTAAATTAGTGAGAAAATGTCTTACTTTTTTTTTTTTTAAAGAGTCAAAGACAACAGATGGCTAATTACATGTCTTCTAAGCTTTTTATTTTTAGAATGTTTTCCAGTCAATTAAAAAAATATTTAAGTGCCAATTTTTATGTGATGACCTTACTAGCCATATACACATATAGAAATTATCCACCAATCTGAGACTATAAACCAGAACAAAATAGCTCAGCAGATAATGTCCATTGTCACAAAGCATTTAGTACCTGGTAATATTAAGAAGTAGATTGGCCACAATGTTGTTCATGGCATCAAAAGGTTTCTCGACCTTCACCACCCCTCCTTGTCCCGAGATGATGGTACAGTCCTTCTTGATGGTACAGCCTGGTTTGCCAGTGTTGGACATGTGTTGTATCTTACCAACAATATCAACCAGAGACTACAATAAAGGTAAAAAATATATATATAATTGAAATCATCATGATATATACTGACCCTCACGCTGTTCCAAAACTTTATGACGTCCTTTCATATGTGTAACACAACAGGAACAATTTTGGGAAAAGCAGCAGTGACAAGGTCTGTCAAGTTATAAACAGGTTAAAAAAGTACAATAAATGTAGTCCATGTGACTTGTATTCCAACTTTCCCAAAGGCACGAAACCACAGTTTTGTATGAGGAACAGACTGATATTAAAGTCATTATTCCTATCTTTCCATCCAGTTTGGTAATGAGAAATGTGAGCAATGTTTAGCATCATTGACGTCAAATATGGTGCAATGTGTCTTCACTTGCTTTATCAGAGTATACATGACTGCAAATATGGTTTGAGAGCTATGATGCCAGGAAAGGGATACCTTGTCATCAACTGGCAAGACACAGTCTGCGTGTTCTGTGAGTTCTTTCATGGCTAGGATGCTGTTGTAAGGAGAGGTGATGACATCATCTTCTGCTGTCGGGTAGACAGAGGTCACTATCCGACATACCTCTGGGAACTCGTCTTCTAGAAGCTTCAACACAAACGTGCCTAACCCCGAACCAGTACCTAAACACACAAATGTACGCTTAGGTCAGCCCAAGTTTCTCAACCACCAACACGGGTAACATGCCAGACATCAGAAGCTTACCTCCTCCCATAGAGTGAATGAGGAAGAAGCACTGAAGGCAATCACAGTGTTCTGCAGCCTTGCGGACCTGATCCACAATCTGCTCTCTGTAGGCCAAGCCATATGTGTGATGCCCGACCGCCCTAAGAGTCATAGACCAATCACAGTATCAGTCACTGATCAACAGTCAAATAAAAAAAACACAATGCATAACTAAAAATACTCTGTCATTAACTAAAGAATAGGATACATATTAAAAATCAGCACTCTTAGAATACGGCTTGTCCAACCTGGAACTAATCGTTGTACGCATTTGTTATGATAAAATTTTACATCAGTCTACATGTCTTAAAACGTTGCCTCAGTAGACAGCTTACCAGTTTTTAGAACAGGGCTATTAAAACTGCACCATATTATGAAGGATTACAAATGTTTTAAAGTATAAACAATTTCAATTTCATAAAAAGGCTCTGGTTTAATAGCTAGGTATAGCATGTATTTGTTTTAAAAGCCAAATTTAACATTAAAACTTGTAATGATTTTGGTGAACTGATGTTTGTTTTTTAACACCAACTGCAAGTCAATGTGACAATGTCTGACTCTGACTCATCTTTGGCCTTAGGTTATGACTGGCTGGTGTCATTGCAATCAAAATCAGTTTTTGAATATCTGTCTAGAATGACAAGCAATTTACCTTGTGCACTGATACACGAAGAACCACTTAAACAGTCAAGTACTATAAAATGTGACTGTTCAGTAACATGCCTGGAGGCTGTCAGGAGCTTCTGAAGTATAAAAACACATGGGCGTGTCAACCACATGAGGAATAGCAACACAGGTCTGGTTTATATCTGGTATTAAGATCCATCTCAGGTGATGGGTGACAAGTAGAGCCCGACCGATATATCGTTTTGCCGATATTATTGGCCGATATGAGCCTGTCGCCGATATATCGGTATCGGCGAATATACCGCCGATATGAAAATTTTTTTTACAGAACATATAACGCAGATAAAATGCTTGAAATTGTGTAATTACTTAGTTTGTCCAGCAGAGCGCGCTCCATTGTTTGCTACTGGCGACCTGGATGAAACGCTTTAAAGCTTAAGTCTATGGAAAACCATTGAAACTTTGAACAGCCATATATCCGTAAAGGCGAGGCGAATCCGCACCAAATTTGGGGGATCCCTTCAGCTCGAGGAACCCTCTCGAACGCGAATCGAGTGTACGTCTTCCGGCGCTGACCGATCAAGCGATCCCGGGGGGCTACCGACGCGTCGAGGGTGGCGTTCGATAGGGCTCCTTGAGCTGAAGGGATCCCCAGAATTTGGTGGAGATCCGCCGGCTTGTTCGTGAGATAGTAACACCAGTCAACACATTCACTTCAGTAAGGAGGTCTCTTGTTCAGGCAGCAGCATTCAAGCGTTGTCTTATTCGACCGTAAGTGCCCTGCGAAGTGGACTTCACATGATATTCCGCCATGATTCCAGTTCCAAGGGAACGTACACGTTACATTCAAAGGGCATTAAAGTGCGCTAGACATGAATTTATATTGTATTTATTTACAGAGGTAGGGGAGAGCGGGGCACAAAGTAACACTTTTTGACTTTCTCAGTTTGTGTAAATCCACATGGGGTTCAGAATATATATATTTTTTTATCCAC